ACGAGCATCTATGGGGAGCGGCCAAGAGGATGGTGATGACTAGGGGAGGTGGATATCATGGCCGCGGCCATGATGTATCCCCAGATCTCATGGCCCCCTCCTCTGATTTCAATGCGTCCCTTGTCCCCCCCCCTGGGAAGCACACATGCCTCAGGCCATGATTTGCGGACCCCCCTCTTGGACGCCCCCCTCTTCCCAGATCCCCGACGTCACGATTCTACCATGACGTGGACCCCCAAAGGCCTCGACCCATTCCCCGGGACCGGTTTTTCATCCCGAGCCGTTTCCTGACGGCCCCGAGGCCTGGTGAGGGCCTCCAGAGGCCGAAGGTAGCGGAGCACCTGCCGCCGTGATTTTTTTTCAGGATCGGGGGTGGACAGACCCCCCACCCCGACACCTCGATCCGTGAATTGTCCGTCTTCGGTTCTCGAGAGGGCGCCGCGGCCGTCACCTTCCAGGCCAGCGCCCGCCAGGCTTGAGGCCCCAGGGCGTTCTCGCCGAAGCGCGTCTTGCTAAGAGGGGGCCCTGCCCACATCCCCGACGGGGCCCGATGGGGGGGGTCCGGCGGGGACGCCCCCGAGCCCCGCTCTCGCCCGACCCGGGGCGTGGCCGCCGCACACCGCGCCCTGCGGCGCGCCCGCCGCGGCGCGCGCGGGCGGCGGCGGTGCCCCTGGCCCGCGCGCGGCGGCCGCCGCGGGGGCCGGGCGCCCGCGGAGGCCGAGGTGCCGCGGATCGGGGTGATGGGCCTGTTTTCCACCACCACCACCACATGTTGGAGGGGGAGGGGGTCCTCCTCCTCCTCCTCCACCTCCTCCTCCTCCACCTCCTCTTCGTCCTCCTCCTCGTCCTCCTCCATCCCCCCTCCAACTTATGGTGGTGGTGGTGGAAAACAGGCCCATCATCGGGGCGAGCGGCAGGCGGGCACGGCAGGTCCGCGTCGTGTCGGCCGGCGGCGAGCCCCGCCGCGGGCTGTGCGAGGTGGAGCGCCGCCGGGTTGTGATGCTCCAACCTACTGTAGCCTTGGCCACCAGGAAGAATCTCGAGCGCCCCCAAAGCTACCGAATTTTCAAGGGTTTTCACGCGTCGGGCCCTGGGAGACACTCGCCCGACGCTGTTTCGACACTCTCTTGCCACTTTTCTGGGTGCTCGAAATTATTTCTGGGATGTGGTCCTTAAGTGGGATGGGAAAAACATAACACTCAGGGCGGAGCGGTCCACGCGTGGTCGGAAGCCAGCGCCGGGGTCGTCGTGGCGTTGGACCTGCCATGCGGCAAGAGCGGGTACAGTCCACCCGCACGGTAAGAGCGGGTGCAGTCAAGCCGCATCCTCGCTTCCTCGGTCCATTCTTGGCCACTCTCGTTGGCCGCACCCCGCACAGGTACGGCAGGGATGGGTTGAAGTCGGGCCTGTCCCTCTACAGGGGGAATCTTTGAAGATAGTCAAAAAGCAGTCTGGGGATCATCTTGTTGACCATGTTTGAGCTTTTTTTGTTTATTTTTGACGTATTTTTTATTTTTCGTCCAAAATCCGCCTGTAAGGGGACAGGCCCGACCTAAGGATGGGTACAGTCGGACCGAGGCATAAGCTTAGGCCTCCTAGAGAAGGTCCGAGCAGAGGGGGTCGGAACATCGCGCCGCTTCGCCGACGCATCGGCAATGCGGCTCGATGTGGGGTCCGATTTCTCCACGCCGACGTCTCGGATGTATCGCCGACACTGCCGGTGCATCGCCAGTGCATCGCCGATGCATCGGCGCTGCATCGCCGATGCATCGGCGATGCGGCGCGATCCTTCGACCCCATCTACAGTCGACCCGCAGAGTAAGGATAGGCATCCCTCTCAAGGGTACCCTTGCATCCTTGCTTCCTGGGTCCATCCTTGGACACTTTCGTTGGCCGCGCCCCGCTCCAAAAGCTTCGAAATGGGCTTCCAAGGCCCTTGCATCCTTATCGCGCATCCTTACTCTGCGGGTTGACTCTACTCCGACTCCGTAGGTCCGCGTCGTGTCGACCGGCGGCGACCTCGCCGCAGGCGCTCAAGGTCGAAGGGCGAACGCCGCCAGAGGCCCTGGATCGGCCTACGTATGGAAGGATCGGGCGATCGAGAAGCCGCCGATCATTCAGGGTTGAACGATCCACTCAGGTTATGATGCTCCAACCTACTTTTGCCTTGACCACCAGGAAGATTTCGAGCGCCCCAAAAAGTACCGTAACTCAAGGGTTTTCACGTGCCGGGTCCTGGGAGACACTCGCCCGACACTGTTTCGACACTCTGGGATGTGGTCCTTAAGTAGGATGGGAAAAACATAACACTCAGGGTTGAACGATCCACGCGGTGTCAGAAACTAACGCCGGGGTCGTCATGACACGAACCTGCCTTGCGGCAAGAGCGGATGCAGTCAACACGCACGGTCAGGATGGGCAGGCTTCCCTTATGTTGTTCCCATCTCATTTAAGGACCACATTCCAGAAATAATTTCGAGCGCCCAGAAAAGTGAAACAAGAGTGTCGAAACAGTGTCGGGCGAGTGTCTTCCAGTGCCCGACACGTGAAAACCTTTGAGTTTCGGTACTTTTTTGGGCGCTCGAGATTCTTCCTGGTGGTCAAGGCTAAAATAGGTTGGAGCATCATAAGCCTTCCCATGGCTACCCCTGCATCCTCGCCTCCTCGGTCCATTCCTGGCCACGCTCGCGGGCCGCACCCCGCTCGAGGAGGCCTCGAGGCGGCCTTCCAGGTCCCTTTTGCATCCTTGTCGTGCGTCCTTGTGATGCGGGGTCGGCTGTGCAGTCGGACCGAGGTCTGAGATCGAGGCCGGTTCGGGGAGGGTCTCCCAGGATTCCTCGCGTCTGCTGGGTGCTCTGGTGCATCCTTGGGGGGGGTACCCTCGAGTGCTCTGCAGCCTGGGCCTGGCGGAGGGTCTCATATTTTTGAGGAGCGTGCCTCTGGTCGAGGTCCGATTGTGTTGAGGAGGAGGGTCAATGGAGAGGAAGCATGTTGCCAAATCATTTCCATTTCCAGATGTCTGAAACATGTATTAAACATGTCTCAACATGTTCAAACATGTCTCAATGTGTAAAACACATGTTTAAAACATGCTTAATCCATGTGACATTCAAGGGTCAGACTCTTAGGGTGTCCATTGTCGTGGCATCCAGAACGATTGTGCAAAGACCGACAGCATTTCTTATTCATTCTGAGCAGGACTCGCTGTCAGTATCGCCGCGGGCGTTGGATTTTGTGAGGCAGAATCGGCGAGCGAGCGAGGGGGGAAAGGAGAAGGAGAAGGCCTGCTCAGAAGGCGGCGAGACTTCTCAGAAGCCATCGCGTGCCTTCTGAGCGGTTCTCTGTGTCTTCGGGGAAGGCCCAGAAAACTTCCCAGCACGTCGGGGGACTTCCGAGCCTTCTGAGAAGGCCCGCCCCTTCTCAGGTCCCCCCCTCGCTCGCCGCCGCAGAAGGCCGCCTGCCCAAGATTAAGTCGGGCCTGCTGGTTTCCCCACAGTTATGTCGGGCGTGTCCCCCTACAGGGGGATTTTCGACGAAAAATGAAAAATACACCAGAAATAACACAAAAATGTCAACACAAATCCACACAAATCGCCCCCAGACAATTTTTGGATTTTTTTTATATATATATATATATATATATATATAAAACTTTTAGAAAGATTATTATAACTTTTCGTCGAAAATCCCCCTGCAGGGGGACAGGCCCGACTTAACGGTACTTCCTGGTTTCCCCACAGACGGGGTCCGAGCAGACGAGGTCGGAGGGTCGCGCCGCATCGCCGGCGCGATGCGGCTCGCCGTGGAGCCCGATCTTCTCTGCGCCGACGTCGACGATGTATCGTCGACGTCTACGGTGCATCGCCGATGAAGCGGCGATGCCTCGGCGATGCGGCGCGATCCTCCGACCACTACGGGCGGGCCCCGGCGTCCCCGGAGCTCGGAGGATACGGTCGGAAGCTGTGGCTTACAGTGCCGTTTTTAGCACATGCTCCGCGTGCGGATCATGTATTAGAGATGCAGGGATTCAGCATTCAAAACCACGATGAGTTCATGCATAACTTTATTCATCAATTAATCGTGTATTACACATCCTATATCTTTAAAAATCCTATGTATCAAAAACTGCCCTGTAGCGTGTCGTGCCGCTGGTTCTGGCCCACCACGCTTCGGCGCGGCGCGCTATATCCGCGTCCCAGTCCCCACGCGGCGGCGCCCCGAGGGTTTCTCCCGGCCTCCCGCCCCGCGGGGCGGAGCGACACGCTGTCCGCTCGCAGGGCATACAGTCAAAAACCCTAGTAAGGACTCGCGACTCTGCTCAGGGTACCCTTGCGTCCTTGCTCTTCCCTGCTCCTGCGTCTCCGTCCTTCCCTGGTTTCGTCTTGGGGTTTTCGTCGTCCGCCGCCCCAGAAATCCCAACTTCGGCTTCAAGGGTCTTGCGTCCTTACCGCGCGTCCTTATTAGGGTTTTTGACTCTAGCGTGCCGCTGGGGCCGCCGCCGCGACACGCCGAGCAGACGTTCTCGACCGTACGAGTGCGGCCTCTGGGCCCGTCATCGGCTCCCACGGGGCCAGCGCAAACGGATCCAGGGAGGAAGGGCTTGGACCTCCCTGGGGGTTCTCGGAGGGAACAGATCCGGCGGGAGGATATTTGGGTTCTCTCGTCGGAGGGTTTCGGGAGCTTTCGCTGGTTCTCAGGGGTTTTCTCGCCTCGGGATGCTCTCCACCAGCCGCGCCTCGTCGAGAGGCGTCCTGGGGTGCCCTGAGCGTCCCGATCGGCCGCCGGGGGCCACAGGGACGGCCCGAAAGCCTCGCGTCGTGACACAGTCACGATGACGGAAGGTTTTGGGCGTTTTGTCGGCCTCCCGGGGGCCTCATGGCCCCTGGGTCGACAAAAACGGCCTAGAGTGAAGAGCCAGTCCCTGGAAAGAGGGCTCAGATCAGACTTTCTCAGGGAGCAACGTTGAGAAACATTCACGGCGTCGTCGGATGCCTGGGGAGGTGCCGCGGGAGCCGGGCGACGGGTACTGCTGGCAGGGCCAGTTCTCCTGGCTCTCGTGCTGCGACCCGAGCGTGTGGGGCCCCGCGGGCAACGGCCTGTGCTGGGACGTCGAGCATACCCACGCGCGGTGTTGTGGCAGTGGGCCTTCGGCAGAAAATTTCCAGTTTGAAACATCTCCCTATCCCTGGGTTTGGCATCACTTCACCTCGATGACGATCTGAAGGATTCCTTCAGTTTCTGAGGGCACATCCCTAAGAGTGTCATCGCTTTTTGCTCGCCCATCTTAGGGATAGGGATCAGTTCGAGGCTGGTTAGAAAAGGGTGCGCGCTCGTCGTCGCCCAGCCGCGTTATATTTGCCACCCATCCCCACCGGGAACGCCTGACCCCGCTTTCCGACCTACGCCCCAGGTGGGGATTCCCCCCTCCGGCCGGTTTCGCGGCATCCTTCCCCATTTGGGGGGTAGTCTGGTGGCGCTGAGGTATTTTGGCCCAGTGGGGACTGGGATAGAATACCGAGGCTGTGTCACCCTTGCTATCATCGTCGTCCGCCCCTCTTGCGCCAACCGACCTCAGGTACACCACACATACCCCTCGTGTCGCTTGCAATGTCAGCCTTACTTGGATGCTTCCAGAGCTCCCCGAGGTCCGACGTCGTGAGGCATCGCGACGCCGTGTGCGCGATTCACGGTCGGAGCTCCCCGCCCGAGGCCTTGCTGGCGTTTCTCGGGGCGGATCGACGCACGAGGGCCCGGGGGCCCGAGACGGGGCCAAAACGGCCGCCGTGGTTTTTGCGCACGATTCACCGCCCACCAAACCACCGCAACCCAACCCGAAGGCCCCGATTTGCTCTCCATTTCCAGTGGGGGGGGGGTCGGGGAACAGGGGAAAAACACATCTGAAGCCCGTACCCCCCCCCACCCGAAATTCGGGTCTTCGGGTTGGGTTGGGGTGGTCCGGTAGGTAGTCAACGATATAGCCTAGATTCCAATGCCCCGCCTGGGATCTCCGCGGGAGAAGCAGGGGCCACCGCCACCCAGAAGCCATCGGGCGGGACCCACCTCCCCGGGGCGCTGCAGCGCCCGAGCTCCGTCCGGTACATTGGGCGGCTCTCGGGCGTGCCGCCGCCCAGGGATCGGCCCCCTCCCCGCCCCTCCCCGATGGGTTCTGGGTGGCGGTGGTCCCCGCGCCTCCTCGGATCTGCACGAACGAAATGGACACGGAAAGAATGGGCACAATGCCCAACAGCAGTTCTTGTTCATTTTGAACAGGACTCGCTGTCCACGCCGCCGCGGGCTGTGTCCATTCGAGACAGAAGGCCGCCTGCCCAACAGCGGCCGCTGTTGGTTTGGGACAACATTTGTTGTTGGGCATTGTATTCATTCTTTCCGTACCCATGTCGGGCAACCAAATCTGAGATCTGGGGCACCAGCCCTTGTTCGGGCGCAATGGACGGCTGTCGTAGCCGTTCGCTCGCAGGGCTCGCCCCAGACAGTTGGGTCCGCGGGCGACTCCTGGTGCACTGGGTGCCCAGGGTCACCCAAGCGCAGGAGCGCGGTGCCTCCGGCCAGCACGAAATTGCCCAATTTGCATGTCGCAGAGCCCCCTGGGGGCACCCCAGGGCTCCAACAACTCTGAGGGGAAACGTGTACCACCGCCACCGAGAGCCTCCCGATGGGTTCTCGGTGGCGGTGGTCCCTGTTTCACACCCCATGGGCCTTGCAGAGCCTCTCCCTGGAATCCTCTCTTTCTCCTGGTTCGCCTCCCTGCTGCTGCTCCGCCATCTCTTCCGTCCCTCCCTTTATGACGTCGCCAGACCATCCACAAATATTGACCGGCGGACTGCCTTGATCAGGGAAGGCTAGAAAGAGAATAGGGGGATGAGTACGAGGATGAAGGAAATTATGAGTATGGTGGAAGGCGAGGAGGACGAGTAGGAGTACAAAGAGGACGATGACAACGAGGAGGACGAGGAGGAGGAGGAGGAGGAGGAGTAGGAGGAGTAGGAGGAGGAGGAAAGGACGATGTGTGAGGAGGGGAGGAGGAGCATGACGAGGCGTTGGAGGAGGACGACGACGAGGAAGGTGAGCAGGGGGTCGCGGGCTTGCAAAGGTTTCCAGAGGTTTACAGGGCTATTGCAGGGTATTGCGTGGTCTTGCAGGGCCTGCTTGGTAGGGCGTTGCAGGGGTACCTATTGCTTACTGCAGGGTGTTGCAGAGTCGTTTTGAGGAGTCGTTTTGCAGAGTCGTTTCGCAGGGTGTTGCAGAAATCTTTGCAGGGTCTTTGCAGTGGGCTTGCATGGTATTCCATTTGGTGCGGCGAGTCCCAGGAGAAAGAAAGAGAGAGAGAGAGAGAAAGTAGGGAGAGGTGTTCTTAAGATGTTGGAGGGAAGGACGAATTATTTAAATCACCTCCGCCGAGAGGGCTGGTAGGGTTCTGCAGCTTAATCTCGCCGTCTGGGTTAGGATCTCAACTTGTGCGCACTTGGTTCAGAGGAAGGCCTCCTTTGAGACTCTGAAGCCCCTCACGCTGGTGCTTGTTGAGATGAGCTACGCCGTGCACCTCCGCATCACGAGGCTCAACTAGGAACCGCGGAGAACTTTGGGATCAGCAGCCGCACTTGCGTACATACTAAACGAGCCTTTGCCGCAACAGTCGTGGAATCCATGCACATTCATGCCCGCCAAGTGAAATGGGCTCGGTGATCTTTTCTGGGGTTCCGTCATGGCGGGTCGCGCCAAGAGGCGCTAGGAGGGGTAGCCGTGGTGGGGGGGGGAGCGGGAGGAAGAGGAGGAGGAGGAGGAGGAGGAGGCGGAGGCGGAGGGAGGAGGAGACGGCGAGGGACGATGCTGATGATGATGATGATGATGATGATGATGATGATGATGATGATGATGGTGGTGATGATGATGATGATGCTGATGATGATGATGATGATGATGATGATGATGATGATGATGATGATGATGCTGATGATGATGATGATGATGATGCTGATGATGATGATGATGATGATGATGATGATGATGATGATGATGCTGATGCTGATGCTGATGCTGATGTTGATGCTGATGCTGATGATGATGCTGATGATGATGCTGATGATGGAAATGGGTTTGGTGATGGCGCTGGTGTTGCTTTTTCAGGTGTTAATAACTATCATCGTCAGGACGAGGGGGAGGAGGATCTGTTGGAGGAGGAGGAGGAGGAGCATGTGGAGGACGAGTAGGAGGAGGAGAAACAGGGAGGCGTCAGGTGGCAAACTTTTTGGACACTCGGATGCATGTCGGGCCCCAGCGTCCAAGTCGGCCTGGTCGGAGAGGGGGGGCGGCCGGGACAGATACGAACAACGAGAACGTCAAGCTCGTTGAGCGCCTGGTCACAGTCATGAAGGAGCTGGCGCTCTTCGATCATCTGGGCATCTTGCCTCTCCTTTTTCTCGGAGGCAGATGTTGGTACTCGCCCACGCGTCCAGGACATGCGCGTCACACCCTGTCATGCGCCCATTGGTCTTTGCAGTTCGCATCGGGCAGTCGGTTCAGTATGGGCTGATGGTGAGGTTCCCCCCAGCGCGGCGGTCAGTTTTTCCCCTCATTCTTTGAAGAGGGGGGAAGGAGGTGGCGGAGCAGGAGAAGGCGGTCGATGGGGAAGAGGGTGAGGGGGGAGGAGGAAGCGGGGAAGATGCTGACGATGCTGCTGCCGATGCTGATGACGATGGTGATGGTGGTGGTGATGAGGATGATGCTGATGCTGATGTTGTTGATGCTGATGCCGGCGATGCTGATGCTGATGATGCTGGTGATTCTGATGATTGTCATGATGATGAAGATAATGGGAATGCTGCTGCTCATGATGATGCTGCTGATGATGATGATGCTGCTGATGCTGGCGATGATGCTGCTGATGACGACGTTTACGATGACGATGGCGACGACGATGACGACGATAATGGCGATGCTGATGACGATGATCATGCTGATGAGGGTCATGATGATTATGCTGATGATGATGGTGACGATGATGGTGTTGCTGATGATGCTACTGATGCTGATGTTGGCGATGATGATGTCGATGCTGCTATGGTGGTGATGATGTTGATGATGGTGATGCCGATGATACTGCTGATGCTGATGTTTGCGATGCTGCTGATGATGATGTCGACGATGATGATGGTGGTGGTAATGGCGATGGCGATGAGGATGAGGATGATGGTGGAGCTGCTGATGATGCTGCTGATGACGACGATGATGGCGATGACGATGACGATGACGATGACGATGATGATGATGATGATGATGATGATGATGATGATGATGCCGATGCTGATGCTGATGCTGATGATGATGCTAATGCTGATGATGATTATGATGATGATGGTGATACCGATGATGATGCTGATGCTGCTGCTGGCGATGATGATGCTGATGATGATGCTGATGATGCTGATGAGGATGGCGATGCTGATGATTTCGGTGGTGGTGGTGGTGATGATGATGATAATGCTGATAGTGATGACGGTGATGATGGCGATGAGTATTATTCTGATGACGATGATTGATGCTGATGCTTTATAATATTTTGATTGCGAGGATGTTGTTGTTGATAATGCTGCTGCTGCTGATGATGATGATCATGATGACGGCGATCATGATGATGACAGCGATGAGGATGATGATGATGTTGTTGATGATGACGATGATCATGATGCTGCTGCTGCTGCTGCTGATGATGATGATGATGATGATGATGATGATGATGATGATTCTGATGGTGATGGTGGTGGTGATGTTCATGCTGCTGCTGCTCATGATGATGATGCTGACGATGCTGCTGCTTCTGCTGCTGCTGCTGCTGCTTATGATGATGATGATGATGATGATGATGATGATGATGATGATGATGATGATGATGATGATGATGATGATGATGATGATGATGATGATGATGATGATGATGATGATGTTGATGGTCGTGGTTGGGTGCTGGCGAGCCCCGGGCTCGCGCCTCTCCCTGAGGAAACGGGGACAAGCTGCAAGCGCTACTCCAGCCGCGGCCGGCGGAGCCTCTGGCGGCGCGAGAGCGGGGCCCTGGGAAGCCGCCGCTGAGCCACCAGGCGCTCAAACGAGCTCTCCGCTCGAGCCCGAAGGGAAGTGGGGCTGCGGCTGGCGGGGGGCGCTACGAGCACTGGCGAGCGGCCCTCGCGGACCCGAGCACCTTTGCCGCGCTTTGCGGGGTGTGCGACCTCATCTCGCAGGGCCGCGTTCCCGAGAGCGCAGCAGCGGCGCTGGCCCTCTCGCGGCTCACGCCACTCAAGAAACCGGCAGGCGGCGTCAGGCCCATCGCGGCGCCGAACGTCCTCCGGCGCCTGGTGGGGCGGGCGCTGCTACAGCAGCGAAGGCAGAGCTCGCCGAGAGCCTGGGCAGGCACCAGTATGCCATAGGCACGGCGGCCGGCACGGAGCTCCTGGTGCACACAGCGCGCGCGATCGCCGAGTCCCGCCTCGACGCGGTGCTCGAGGCTCGTGGCCCTAGACGCGAAGAACGCCTTCAGCTCCGCGGAGCGCGCGGCCTGCCTAGCCGGGCTGGAGGCCGAGGCCCCAGAGCTCCTCCCCCCTTTGTTGTTTTTTTTTTTTTTTGGTTTTATTCTTTTCCTTTTTTTTTTTCTTGTTTTTTTTTTTTTTTTATTTTTTTTTTTTTTTTCTTTTTTTTTTTTTCTTTTTTTTTTTTTTTGTTTTTTTTTTTTCTTTCTCTTTCTTTTTTTTTTTCTTTTTTTTTTTTTCGTTTCTTTTTCTTTTTTTTTTTTTTTTTTTTTTTTTTTTTTTGTTTTTCTTTTTTTTTTTGTTTTTTTTTTTTTTTTTTTTTTGTTTGGTTTTTTTTTTTTTTTTTTAGAGCGATTTTTCTTTGCGGAGCTCTTTTGCCGGCGCACCTCCCAGTACCTCTACTGGGACGGCCGCGGCCGCTGCCGGCGCCTCACAGCCACGAGCGGGGTGGACCAGGGGGACCCCTTCGCGCCGCTCCACTACGCCTGCGGCGCCAAGCCCGAGCTGCGCCGGCTGGAGGAGGACCTGCGCGCGGCGGCGGGGCGAGCGGGGCTGCAAGCGGAGGACGTGCGCCTCCTCGCCTACCTGGACGACATCGTCGTAGTCGTCCCCGCGGCGCTGGCGGCCGAGGTGCTGCCGACCGCCCAACGCTTTCTCGGGGACGTCGGACTGGATGACCTCTCAGACGCAGGAGACGAGCGCCTGGCTACCCTGGGGACGACGGGCTACGCCGCGGAGCACGGCGCCGGAGTGGCGAGGCGCGCGGCCGCCCTCTTCGAGAAGCTGGCGGACTTACCCGAGGAGGCTTCACCGCACCGGCCCGCGAGACAGGCAGCCTCGCTGCTCTTGCGCCGCTGCGGCACCAGCAAGCTTACCCACCTGCTCCGGACCACCCTGCCAACGAGCACGGCGGCAGCCGCGGCTGGCTACGACAATTCGCTGCTCGCTGCCTACAGGCAACTGCTGCGGCTCGACCCCCTCGCGGAACCGCAGCGAGGGCTTTGCAGGCTACCGCTGCGTCTCGGAGGCCGGGGCCTCCGCAGCCAGGAGCAGCTGGCGCCCGCGGCCTGGGCGGGGCCCAGACCTCGCGGAGGTACGGGCACGCACCGGCTTGGCGGCACCCGACGACCTGGAGCAGGCCGAGCAGCCCCTCGCCGCAGCTTGCCGAGCCGCCCGCCTGTTGCTGGAACCGCAGCCGCAGGCTGGCGCCGGGCTGGCCGCAGACGGGCCGGGAGAAGGAGAAGAGGCCGGCGCCCTGCCCGCCTGGGCCACACTCGCCCACGAACCTCGCACCAAGGTGCAAAAAGCCTTCACGCACAGGCTTGACCAGAAAAAACTATTCAGCCTTGCGGAGCGCCTGCGCCAGCGAGGAAAAGGCGAGACTGGGCTCCTGCGGCGGACCGCACGCAGCCGCTTGTCGGCAGGCCGCTCTGGGGGCGGCTGGGCAGAGACTGAACGACGCTGAGCTCTGCCTGACAGCGCGCGCTCTACTAGGCCAAGACCTAGCGCCGCCTCGCGCTCTCTGCGCGAACCACACCCGTACGGGCCCGCGCACAGGCCGGGTCTGTGGGGAGCGCATTTGCTGCAAAGTGCACCACTCTTTTCGATGTTCCTGCGGCGGCGGCGTAAACTCGCGCAGCAGGGACGTCGAGGACGTGCGGCAGCGCATTCGCAACGAATGTGGCTACCACGCGGCCCGGCAAGTCCCCGTCCCCAGTTGGGATCGGTGGGCGTGGAGCTGCCAGAGCTGCGGCGCCCGGGGCGCGGGTCACCAGCAGTCCGCCGGCCCCTGCGGCGGTTGCGATCAGCCCGTCGTTTCCCACAGAGAGGAAGCCATCCTCGACATACAGGCACAGCGTATCGGCTGCCCGCGGCTGTTCATAGATGGGACAGTTCGGTACGCCGTGCCAGGAGACGCGGCGGGCCTGGCCGCAGCTGCCAGCCGCGACGGCACAGTGGCAGCCGCAGCAGAGGCTGACAAGAGGCAGCGGTACCCCGAGGGTCGCTTCCCTTGGCCAGTGTTGCCCTTGGCCCTTGAAACGGGAGG